CATTATGTACGCGTATCTGAATGACGGGACAGTGCAGGGATGGTATGTCACGCACCCCGAGTCCAAGCCCTACGCTGGACTCGTCAAGGCGGCGCAACCTTCTCCCGTCGCTTCGGCGTTCGGTCAACCAGCCACGACTGCTTCAGCGTTCGGCCAGCAGTCTACATCTGCATTCTCCCCGCCCAGCACGTCTGCCTTTGGACAACCGTCCGCTTTCGGGCAAGCACAGACCACGAGCGCGTTTGGCCAGCCATCCGCCTTTGCCCAACAGCCCGCGTTCGGTCAAAGCGCGTTCGTAAAGTCAGCCGCGCCTTCCCCGTCGCCATTTGGTTCGCCCAGCACCACCTCTGCATTCGGCAGCTCTGCGACACCCGCTTCGTCCACCGGCGGAGGCTTCGCCGCCTTCGCCTCCTCCAACAGCGCATTTCGGGGCTGCTGCGTCCAACTCCCCCGACCCACCGCCTCCACTCACTTCCACCCCGTCCATCTCGATGGGCGAGGTGACACCCTCGGCCTTCGGTGGGCTTTCGCTCGGCGGCTCCTCCGACTCGAATTCCCAGTCAGACGACAAGCCGCGCGCTGTCGGGGGCGGGATGTTTGGCTCCTCCCCGAGCCCGCTCCCGCTGCCTCCCAACCACCCCGCAAACCAACCCTCTCCGGCCACGCCGTCTGCTTTCGGCGGCACTGGAGTGGTCAAACCCGCCGCTGGGTTTGGTGCCTTCGGTGCGGTGTCCAGTGGGGCGTTCGGAAACCCGAATAGCAACGCTTTTGGCGGCGGGGGTGGGGCCTTCAGCGGCGGCGCGTTCGGAGGCGGCAGCAGTAATGCCGGCGATTCCAAGCCTGCGGCGAGTGGTGCATCACCGGCGTTCGGCAAATCTGGCTTTGGGCAGTCTGGATTTGGACAGACTGGATTTGGGGCGAAGCCTGTTCTCTGCGTTTGGGCACTCGGGCTTTGGGGCGGCTGCGGCTGCTGCTCCGGCGACGCCGCCTGCGAGCGGTGGGGGCGGGTTTGGGGCATTTGCTTCGGGTGGGCCCACGGGGTTTGCGAGTGCTGCGTCTGGCTCTGCTTTTGGCGGAGGAAAGTGCCTTTGGCGGAGGGGCGTCGCCGTCGACCGCAGGTGGAGGAGGTTTTGGTGCGTTTGCGTCGAAGCCAACTGGGTTCCCTGGTGCCTCGACCGGCTCTGCCTTTGGTGGCGGCGGTAATAGTAGTGCGTTTGGGGGAGCACAGTCTCCTGCGAGTGCATTTGGCAATAGCTCAAGCACGCCCCCTACTACGTCGACGTCGGCGTTCGGCGGGTTCGGTACTGGTACATCAGCATTCGGAAGTACAGCGACACCAGCAGCCCAGCCAACTTCGAGTTCAACTCCTCCCCCTTCCTCGACATCGGCGTTCGGTGGGTTCGGCACTGCCACATCGGTATTCGGGAATAAAACGCCAGCAGCCCCGCCGGCTTCTACATCTTCTTCTCCCTCCTCCGACAAAGAAATCAGATCCACTTCCCCGAATGACAGTCCCCCGCCTAAAGCAGCAACACCGCTGAACTTCACTACTTCCGGCCCACCCACAACCTCGGGCGCGTTTAGCAATTTACGAAGCTCCTCGTCAGGCTTCAAGCCGGCCTCGGGATTCGGGGCCTTTGGCAGCGACTCCGCTCCGGCCTCTTCTCCTTTTTTCAATGCTGCCGCCCAAACGAAGGCGCCCGCAGTATCAGCTTTTGGTAACCTTGGCTCAGGCGCCTCCTCCACACCCACTCTGGCGGCTGCGGCCGGCAAGCCCGCATTCGGTGCCCCATCGCTGCTGGGTGGTCCAAAGTCTGCGTTCGCTCCCATTTCTCAGCCGGCGGCTGCAAAAACGACTTCCGCATTCTCAGGCGGGTTCAGTGCGTTTGGCGGGTCTCCAGTGGGCTTGGCTTCAGCTGCGACAGCGAGCAAGTCGTTTGGAGAGTTGTTGAAGACCGGCGATGAGGAGAAGAAGCCTGCACTCAAGCCGGCCGCTACTTCTGCCTTTGGCCCGTCGGGCTCTTTGTCGAAACCAAAATCACCAGAGGAGACGACCATTAAACCTATTCCGGTCTTTACGCCGCCTCCTGTCGACAAGGAGGTCGCGCGTACGGAAGACTCATCATCGGGGAAAGACCAGGCCGCTACGCCCTCCGCCGACGGCGAGAAAGAGGGTACAACGTCTGCGGAATCCTCATTTGGATCGTTGTCTCAGACCAGCTCATTTGTGGAAGTGGAGGCAAATGCGGAGGACGATGCTGACGAAGACGCTGATGGAAATGAAGAAGAGGACGACGACGACGACGATAACTACGAGAACGCGTTCCTCTCTGACAGTTTCGGGTCGGGCTCGGGCTCGGAGGCCCCGGATGATGAGGACGATGATGAGGACGCGTCTCGGTCGCCCTCTCCGTCTGCCGTTCCTTTACCACCATCCAGGTCGCCCTCCTCCACTCCGCGTGCCGAAGTGCCCAAGATTACCGTTTCGCCATCACCAACACCCTCTGAGGAAGAGTCGGATTCGTCTGAAGATTCTCGCCTGTCTACTATCCGGGAGGAAAGTACCACACCGCCGGGAAGCCCAGAGAAAAAAGAGCGAAAGCCGCCATCACCCAAGACTGCCCCTGTTGCCGAGCCAATCCCCATTGCGCCTTCGCCATTTGGGATCGGACTGGGTCGACCCAGCACACGTCCAACACGAAGCTCTCCGCTGGCTAACGCGCCCGTGTCCGGCGATGAAGATGCCAAGGCAAAGCCGGTGGAGGAAGCCAAACCTGCTGCCAAAGCGCAGCCGGCATCCCCTAAACCACGGTTTGGTGTATTACCTCCGGTGGAGGCCGATACCCCCAAGGCTGCATCCAGCAGTAAACCCACGAGACCTAAAACCCCTCCTTTGTCTGCATTCTCGTTCGGAGCTGCTTCCAAACCCGCGGTAAAAACGCCACTAGCCGGACCCGCTGCAAGCCCTTCTCCTCCTCCGACCACGCCATCTCCCTTGTCTTTGCCCATGCCTGTTCTCTCCTCAAATAACAGCCAGATGGTGTCGGCTCCTAGTGGTCCTGGCAGCTTCTTTGGGTTCGGTACGCCCAAGAGCGCGGTAATACCGTCGGCCGCGTCACCAATGTCGATGCCGACGCCTATGCCCGCTCCCAAAGGTTTCTTTTCGTTGCAACCTGCAGCGTCGTCTCAATCCCCCTCCCCTGTTTCTACTGCCCCTCCGCCCGCCCCTCCGCCGGAAGCTGCTATGGAGGAGGGCATGCAGAAAGAATGTGCTGCCTTGTTTGCAAACATGACTCGCCAGCTCGAAGACGTAAGACGTTCCTTAGTAATTAATGTGCGCTCGCTGACACCATTTCATCCAGTTCCGCCTGTTGGCTCAAGCCGCAAGTCTGAAGCGAGTGGAGCTGGGCAAGTCGGCTGGTGGGTCCCGACGTGCAGTCGACCTGGGGGATAGGTCAAAGTGGGCCTTGGGCGACGTTGTGCAATTTGGCCAGACAATGCGGATGTTTGAGCAGGATCTTGCGCAGTTGAAGGAGGAGCGCGTGCAGCGGGAGAAGTTGCTTCGAGAGCTACAGAGTAACCTACTTAAGGGTATGTCGTCCTTTCTCGCTTTTGTTACTCTGATCCTCACTGGTCATAGCGGGTACTCGAAGGGAAGAGATCGGAAAGTTCATCAAGGCGCAGCATGACAAGGATTTCGCCAAAATGCTCAAGGCTCGAACGCTCGGTCCTGAGCATATGGAGACACAGACACAGCTCAGGAGAAGCATCCGGGTAGGTGTTCATTCAGCCATCCAGGTGTCTATTAATGGGTATTCTTCCCAGACCATGCAAGACCGTATCCAAAAGCTCGAATCTCATCTCCAGGACTCGAAGAAAAAACTGAGCAGAGCTAGCGCGGGTAATCCTGGCCTGAGGTACTTGTCCCATTGTTCTCGACTCTCGTACTTGGCTCAATGAACGACAGGGCCCCAACACTGGACACACTGAACCGCACATTCCGAAACATGGACATTGCACTTGACAACCAAACGAGCGAGGTCGAGAGGCTGACTGCCCGCATTGCTAAACTAAACACCAAGGATGGTCAGCGTAGTGGCCACAAAGCCAGTGCTCGCGACGCTCGCCTTCCCGATCCGGTTACGAGACAGCGCCCGCTCAACGTTACTCCACATGTTGCTGTCACCACAGCAGCAGCGTTGAATGCTGAGCGATCTGCGCACAAGTTGAAGCGTGCCCTTTTAGCGGTGCGCAAGGAACCTCTGCTCAATACCCAAGCTGCATCTGCGGCTCCGGCGCCCTTGGCATTCCAAACGCCTCAAAGGGCTGGCCCCGGTATCGATTTAGGATTGAGCGGTCCTAGCATTCCCCTTCGAGGCCTATCGCTTGGGCTCTCCACTCCACCTTCATCCATGCCTGGATTCGACCTTCCAGAGGACAACTTCAATCCATCCCCACTGCCAGCACCAGGTTCGAGAAGGGGCGCCGGGGGCGGCAAGACTCGCATCTCCAGCTCCGTGCCCCTCAAACGCACTCCTGGACCCCCCGCGGCTATGCCCTCTCCACCGCCTTCCTTTGACTGGGGCCCCTTGCCCGATTTCCAAAATAAACCTACCGTATCTCGAGAGAATTCTTTAGGCAGCTCCTGGGTATCCGATGGGTTTCATGGCAAGAAATAGGGTAACAAGATGTATGTGTAGCTATAATGTAGCATCTCTAGGCCCGTAACAGCCCGACGTTGAGCAACCCAAACAATCGAATGCGATTTGAAGTGCAAAAATATGTGACGTTTGCGCCGGTCCTGTTCGCTCGGGGCGCGATTTTTTCCCCCCAGAGCCTACTCGCCTGGAGGCGGAGCCGACTCTGCCGCGGCCCGACGTTGAGTAATACAGACGGTTGAATGCAAGCGATTTGAAGTTGGAGAAACGTTAAAACCTCTCGCGTGGAAAAATCATGTAATTTTACGTCTCTACACCTTCAAATGAACCATGATTGTAACAGCGCCGGTGGTGTATCGGTAACATTGGGTCTTCCCAACAAAAAGTCATAATTGGCCTAGCACCGGGTTCGACTCCCGGCCGGCGCACTTTTTTTTGTCTATTCAATCATTTTTTTCAACAAAAATAGCGCCCCCTCAGATGGCACATTTTCGACTGTAGAAAGCCCAGAGCTTCGACAGGGAATCCAGGGATGTCAAAACATGCTAGGGGTTGGGTCATGTGATCGCGTTACTTCGAGGAATTTTGAAATTTCAAACAGATCTCAGACAGCCTCAGAGAGGATGTTAAACAGGTGGACATTGCATTTAGGTATCGTTTCAATGGCTGTACCGGACCCGAAACTTGAATGGAAAGAATATATCAATCACCGGAAGCGAGCCCAGCAAAGCCTCGATCAACGTTCAACGTTCAACGTCTATTTCCGAGTCGAACAAATTTAGAATTAACGAGGTACGAATTAGAACTGTTGAAGCGTCTGTCTAGTAGAAACTAATCTAGAATGAACCTCCGCGAAATTATGGGACGGCAGTCGTGCATATATAGTTCTCCGTACATGGTGGACTGCGGCAAGCCTCAAAAGAGCATCTGTCTAGGAGAGACTAATCTAGAATGAACCTCCACAAAATTATGGGACGGCAGTCGTGCATATATAGACCTCCGTACATGGTGGACTGTGGCAAGCCTCAAAGAGTTACAACCAATGACGTCATGTCGATTACTATTACTGCGTAGAAATCCTGGTAGAAATTTACAAAAATATGGTACCTATCTGTTATTCCCGGGTTTCGTATGAACTTGCAACACGTTGCGCATTGGACTCGCACACGGTGCTTTGCGACCGCAGTTGGGGCTGGCCCACGCATTCCCCAGACTATAATCGAAAAGGTTGTTCAAAAGTATGCGGTTGGGCTCCCTCCAGGCAGAGCGGTCAAAGCAGGAGACTATGTTATGATACGCCCCGAGCATGTCATGACCCACGACAATACTGGCCCTGTCATTTCAAAGTCTGTCCCCGTCCTTTTCACGCTGGCTGGCTGCTGGCTGAAGTGCTGTTACTAGGTTCAAATCTATCGGTGCGACGCGAATCCAGAATCCGGTACAGCCAGTATTCACTCTCGACCATGACGTGCAAAATCGGTCGACAAAAAATCTGGCAAAGTATGCTTCGATAGAAGAATTTGCCAGGCAGCATAAAGTCGATTTCTATCCTGCTGGTCGCGGAATTGGCCACCAGGTTCTGGTGGAGGAAGGGTATGCGTTTCCCCACACCCTTACCGTCGCCAGCGACAGTCACAGCAATATGTATGGCGGCGTGGGGTGTGTGGGTACGCCTATTGTGCGCACCGACGCTGCTGCTCTCTGGGCAACAGGCAAAACATGGTGGCAAGTCCCCCGTATGGTCAAAGTCGAGTTGAAGGGGAAACTCGCCCCTGGTGTAACGGGAAAGGACGTCATTGTCGCCTTGTGTGGCTCCTTCAACAACGACGAGGTTCTCAATGCAGCACTGGAGTTTGTGGGAGATGGGGTCGCAGCCTTGAGCGTCGATGACCGGCTCACCATTGCCAACATGACGACTGAATGGGGCGCCTTGGTTGGTGTCTTCCCTGTGGACGAACATTGTTGCAGTGGTATGATCGCGTTCTGGCCAAACTCGAGCTGCGGACATTTTCGTCGCCCACCATGGCATCTTTAATCCCACCACCGCCCGAGCATCCGCGCATCAATCGTGCGCGACTGGATGCGCTTCGTTCTACTAATATAGGATCGGACCCTGACGCGGCGTATTCATCGCATCTCATATTTGACCTCTCCACCCTCGTTCCCCATGTCTCCGGGCCCAACAGTGTCAAAATATCTACTCCTCTTCCTACCCTCGAAGCGTCCCGCATAAATATCCAAAAGGCTTATCTTGTGAGCTGCACCAACTCCAGAGTGTCCGACATTGCCGCCGCTGCGGCAGTAATGCGTGGAAACAAAGTGGCGCCCGGCGTGGAATTCTACATCGCGGCTGCCAGTTCAGCTGTCCAGCTCGAATCCGAGAAGCTGGGTGATTGGGACACCCTAATCTTGTCTGGCGCCAAAGCTCTTCCCGCTGGGTGCGGACCATGCATCGGTCTGGGCACCTGGATTGCTGGAGGAAGGCCAGACGGGTATCAGCGCGACAAACCGCAACTACAAAGGGCGAATGGGCCACCCAAAGGCGCAAGCATACCTCGCAAGCCCAGCTGTTGTTGCAGCGAGCGCCATCAAGGGATATATTTGTGGCCCTGCATCCCTCGACCCTTCAACCCTGCCTCCCGTCAACGCTCCCACGTTCTCGATATCGAACCAACCGACCGCGTCGATGTCGCATGCCTTGCAGGAGAATGAACCCGTTCTCGCAGGCTTCCCCGCCTCATTCGCGGGGCCCCTCCTATTTGCCCCACAAGACAATCTCAACACAGACGCTATATATCCTGGGAAATACACGTACCAGGACGACTTCACCCTCGAGCGGCAAGCTGAGGTCGTGATGGAGAATTACGATCCAGCTTTTGCGACGCTCGTCGCGTCGTTATCGCGCAAGCAGTCGGCTCTCCCTTCTAGCAACCAGCGCGCGAACGGCGTAATCCTGGTTTCGGGATACAACTTTGGCACGGGGTCCTCGCGGGAACAGGCCGCGACAGCGCTCAAGGCGGCTGGGGTGCCTCTGGTTATCGCAGGGTCGTTTGGCGATATCTTCAAGCGCAACGCGATCAACAATGGGCTGGTGTGTTTGGAGTGCCCGGAGCTCGTTGCGGATTTGACGAAGAGCTACGCAAAAGGGGGGGCAAGAGGCGCTGGGGGGCCTGCAGGGCGAGTTGACGGTGGACCGCGGCCTCGATATCGAAAGTAGGGATGTCCGACGGTCGCGTGGTACTCAAGACGGACGGGGGTGCGACCAACGAGAAGATCTACAATGTCAAGCCCGTGGGGGCCAGCGTGCAGGAGCTTTGGGTGTGCGGTGGGCTGGAGGGCTTCATTCTGAAGGAGATTCAAGCTGCGCATCCGCAGGAATCCGTTTGACGACACGAAGAAAAGTATCCGACTGTTTTCCCATGTCGTATTTCATGTATCAACTAGAAGTAATAGGCATGTTTTTCAGAATTCGTGAGTGGAAGTAGTACAGAATCAGTCGCAGTACAGGAGATATGAAGTAAATATTGCGAAGTTGTACATATGAGTGTTCGTTAAGGAGCAAAGGAATAATAAGTTAAAGAGCGGGGTCCCAGACACTGCGGGTGGGTTGTGTGGCTGGAGGGATAACGTTTGCGGGGTTGCTGAACTTCTCGTGGAGAACTGCGAGCTTAGAGCGGTACTCGTCAACCCCGATGTACGCTCCACACATGCGGCGTTTGCCTGTGAAGGCGGATCGACCATGTAATACGCGATGATTGTCGATAACTTGAATATCATTAGTCCTGAGGTGGGAAAGAAATTGAATCATACGCACGAACGGCAGTACCGGGGGAAAGCTGGACCCAATATTCCGAGTCAGCGCTCGTGAGGAGCTTATTCCACGTCCGGATGGTGTTGTACCTGCAAAACAAACATGAGATCTAGGTATGCTTAATCATTGTATCTTACCATTCTTCAACTAAGTAGGGGTCCAGATTGTTCATAACGCTTCGGTCGTCGTTATTCCATCGCACTTGGACGAGTTCCCCAGTCACGGAGTCGTGGCCGAGCACCGGGTAGCCCGAAGCGGGATAGGGTTGGTAGAGGGCGGAAGGCTCGCCAGCTGCATGTGCAGGGACAGCAGTGCGCGAGAGGAGTGAGTATGCATCAGGATGCAACTCCTTGAGGATGGAGGCAACGTAGAAACCGTCAACTAGCAGCGTGGAGCCGCCAGAGCCATCTGTGTGCGAAAGAAGGTGGAATAATTGGAGTCCACAAGGATCAGTCTGAGCAAGGAAAATCAGTTGACGGGTTTTCACAAGCAGACCAAACATACAAAATAAGTGTTGTCTGTGTGCGCGCCAAGCGCCAGTTGAGTGTATGCTGTGTCGCCTTTCGCAAGGTCGGAAGTAAAGTCCCAAAATCTTGCCATCTAAATTAGAGCTCATTAAAATGCGGCGCGACAGAAAAAAAAAGACCACAACATTGCGTTTCACGTATAAAGCTGATCCGTTCCGCTAGCTGTTCAGTAGCTTCAGGTGTCGCTGGGACACCCGAAACAAAGCACATCCCAAAGCGATCCTGACATTCAGGTTGGCGGGATGTGCGGAAGGTGGGATGGTATGCTTACCACATGGGACAGCCATTTGTAGAGACCTTGATCATCTTCCGCCATTGCCTCTTCGTATGTTACGGTCGGAGGCGACGTTTGAATTTTTGAACTCCACATGATTTTTCTGTAGCGAATGAGAGGGTGTTCTGACACGGTACATGGCACTCACTCTGACTGGGTCTCTCGCTGCCCAAGGGGTGGATCATAAGAGTTTTGCTGAAGCCACGACCATGGATACATGGATATATGAGGTATGGACGAAGGCCCTGCATCGACTTCGTTAGATGCGGACGGAGCAATATATAATTCGGGCATACATGACACCTTCAATCCATCTGCGGTTGGCTCGACGTGGGTGGGCGTAATATCAGGAGAAATCTAAATGAGGGCTCTAGGATTGTGGAATACAGCCTGAAGAGAACGCCAACCTCGAAAGTATTCACTAATCTTTGTTTTGTTATCGCATGGAAGCACTCGGGACACCGACAGTGGTCCCGCAGCCAGATATTATGGCTGGCAAGTAGAGTCAGCGATATTCCAGAAATTCGAGAACTGCAAACAATCGTGACCACGTCCGAGTGTCCCATCCCACAGCAACTTTACGTTCGTCGTTACTGACCATGGGGAGATCGTCAGAAACCTCGGGGACTGTCCGCGGAGACGTCTGCGGAAAAGGTCGAGTATTTAGGGCAGTAGCAGAGGCGGATGCGCGTGCTAAATGGGTAGCCAGTCCACGGTGAGGGTGACCCAAATTTCGCTAATTGAAGTTCATGTCAGAATGAGGCTCTGAGGGAAGGGGCAGGAAGGGTGCATACAAAGATGCTCCTCGACAAGGGA